GTTATACGTGGAGAGTATTCGCAAAGCCACGTATATAGGTAGCATCTTGATACGACTCGTTTAAAGGGGTGGTGGGCGGCGGCAGCGTCGCCTGGATAGCGCTGCATGTAAGTAGTAGTTCCGCGACCCTCCGGCGCAGTGCGTGCGAGCGGCAATGCAAACACGATTCAAACCAAGCCTAAATATTGTGCTGATTTCGATATTGTAGAAAAAAGGAAATCTTCCGAGACTTTCTCACTGATTTAAGATCTGATAGAATAAGAAACCTCAGTCGTGCTCCTGAGCCATTCACCTCACTAAATGACATGCATTTTTTGATCAAATAGATTCGCGTCGGTCGTAAACCTAAATATGAAAAAAAAAGAAGAAAAAAACCCTTAAATTGTGTGATGTGCCGTCACAACCCCCGTACTATGCACATTTTATTTTACACCGTTTTGCCACGTCAATGTTATGAATTGCAAAGGCCATGGTCTGCTCGCTCAGGCCGTGTGGACCCATGATTTCAGCGCCAGTGAGTTAAACCGGAAATTGCACCTCTACGCAGTCTTTTGGGAGGGCGTAGCCAGGTCGCGAATATTACGGTTCATTGGTAACGATCTTTTTTGTGTGTACTGTATTTCATTTTAATATTTTTTGCGTGTGCAAACAGCAGTTAAAAGAAAAAGTTATTTTGTTCGATCGGCTGGCCTGCCGTGGGGGTGGGACTGTCGGTGGACGACTGTCGTGGTAGTTTCCATGCCATTCATTTTGCCGTCGCGCTTTTCAGGGAGTAATGTGGATTTTCAAGAGCGGATGTGATGTGCGCGGCGCGCTCTCACGCCGTTGGGGAAAACGTCGCGGTTGTGGAGGGATGCAAATTATATTTTCAATGCATACTGCTCATCACGCGGTCACTCATAGTGACCTCGGCGGGAGAACGTGAAAAATAAATCATGTGTCTGACTGGGACTCGACGCTGCAACTCGTTTCTCGCGTCTGAGTAGCCCCAACAAAAGGGACAGAGGTATTGTGATTGTGATCTGTGTCATCGTGGGTGGAAATATGGAATTGTCAGAAAACTTTTCATCCCGGAGATAGTTGTTAATTGCAAATTTGTTTTGTTCTGGGCTGATGTTTTCGCGCGGTTTCCGGACGGCTTAGCTTCAGTGTCTGCCAGCGGATATGGCGAAAACAGCATTTTCGTGATCGAAATTAACTAGTCGGACCCTCAATCAAAACAAGCGATTATTCCTTTGTTTGCGTGGAGAATGTGTCGTGCTAATTTATATTCCAAATGCCAATGGTTGCCTAGGCAAATTGTTTTCCATTTCACGAATTCTTACGTATTTGATTATTTTGTGGCAAGTTCGGGCGCCGAAGTTTATGTCGTAAAAAGATGGGTTACTTGCTTCGGGTTCTAGGTATAACGAGAGGGCGCTTTTTTTGACACCAGAAGCCAGCCGTCAGGCTCAGCGCGGTGAAAACAATGTCTCATTTTTTGAGGGAAAAGGTAAAACTTTGAGGAACTCCCCTGGAATGACAAAACTCCTCAGATTTCGAGTCTCCTCCAAGAATGTGGGATTTTTCCTCTTTTTTTGAGAATGTTCCTCAAAATCTGAAGCGTGATCGGAGGACTCTTCCTCAAACATGGTAGTTCCTCAAAGTTTTCCCCTTTTCCTCAAAAAATGAGACATTGTTTTTACAGTGAATACAGTACTTTGTGAAGTTAGGAGGAGCAATGTCACACCTTAGCACAACAGTAGCCGGATTTAGACAACAAATAATGCTAGTTTGATTTAATCTAACACATTTACTTTTTTTTTTGTAAAAAGAAAAAAGATGGAAAGGGGTAGGGGACGACCTTGCGGTGCGTCTGTAAAATACGTGGGGCGGGCCAAGTTCGTTTTTAGAGCCCAACACCCCGACCTGCAGCTCAGCGTCACACAGTGCGGTAGGTCATGGCCCCACTTCTCTCCACCTCTGCCTCTGCCGTCATCTCTCTACTTCTTGGCCACTTGTTTTTATTCGCAAATCCCTGTAGTGTCTTCGTGTTGTGGATGTAACATCTAGATAGACCTTTCTTTTTTACAGCTTGGCCCATTTGCCCATTTAAAAATAAAATCGAGGTGTTGGCCATTGGTTTGTGTCATTCTCCTTTCCACAGCTATTTTGCACGAACACGATCCCCAAGTTCAGATTTCTTAAATCTATTAAAACGTGTGCAATTGAATTGTGTAGCAGTTGATCTTCTTAATCCAAGGACAAGGAGTTTTTTTGTTGGGGGGGGGGGGGGATGGTGCAGTGAGTGCTCGAAGCACTGCCTAACGCCAGCCATAAAGCCACTATCGCCAGTGAGAAGTGCTGCCTGGATGAACGCTCCCTACACGCCTTCTCAAATAGTTGGCAACAATTTCAAAGAAATCTATAATAAACGAACGAGCCGGCTGACTCCCCTAGCTTCATCGCTCGGTCTACCTCACACCCTCTCGTTCTCTGGCGTCTTCTCGCTCTAAGAAGTCGTTAACCCCAGCAGACGTCGCAGCTGTGTACGAATGTGTGTGCGACTAAATCTCTTGGGGAAAAGCAGTTCACGAAAGAGAGCGAGGGAGAGAACGCAGAGAATGATGATAAATAAAATTAAGAGAAAGAGGAAAAGAGGAGAAGGGAGGGGGTCGAGGCCAACCCCGGAAGAGTTTCAAAAATTTCGTCTATTTTTGAGGGAGGCGGGGTGCGTTTTAAAAGAGGAAAAGGGCGGGGGGGGGGGGGTCGGACTCTTTCTCGAGTCAAAGAAACCCTTTTAAAACAAATGTTTTTACACTGTTATTCAATACATGTGATTTCACATTTCTTATTTACCTCCTGTGAAAACTGTGACATTCTTTTGGGAGCTACTGTCACATTATTTTTCATGTGTCTCTAGAATTTGCCACTCTCTCGGCCTGACTGAGGCTTTATCAGGTTAAGGAGTTTAACAGTTTAACAGTTTAACAGTTAACAGTTTAACAGTTCCATTTTGCATGATATTTGGTAATATAACTATGATTTTCACATTTAAAAGTGTTAATATTCCATTTATATTCCATATAAACACATTTAAATGTGAAAATCGTGGCTATATTTCAAAATATGCAAAATGGAAGGAGTTTAACAGTTTAACAGTTGACAGTTTAACAGTTCCATTTTGCATGATATTTGGGAATATAACTATGATCTATACATTACAATGTGTATATATCCCATAGATTTTCACATGTAAACGCACTTAAATGTGAAAATCATAGTTATATTCCCAAATATCATGAAAAATGGAACTGTTAAACTGTTAACTGTTAAACTGTTAAACTGTGAAACTGTTAAACTGTTAAACTCCTTAACCTGATAAAGCCTGAGTCACGCTGAAACTAATGTGACATCACGTGTTCAACAATGTCACGTCACATGTATGAAATGAAAATGTAGATTTTAAGAGTGCAGGCAAGAGGTCGGTCGTGCGCGCGGGTTGTCTATGCACCTTTTCAAAGAACGAAAACACCGACTTTGGGTGGTCCGTCCGATCGGCGTTTGATCCGAGGCGCACCCTTAAATCCTCCTCCAAGTCGCTGCCCATCCCTCACAATGAGCCCCCAATCTTCATATAAATGACCTGGAGTGTGTATTATTGAGATGTTGGCACGGCGGGCTGAGGTGGCGGAGGGGAAGGCCCGAAAACACGCACCCGAATACATTAGCGACTGGGCACCGACAACGAACGCCTTCGCACACGCGCGTCGAGGTGCGAAAACGGAAAGAGAAAAAGAGAAGGAGCGTGAGGTAATGAGACAAGTGGGTGACCATTTATGTCGTTTTCCAATGCGTTTCACTTTCATGTGTTTTTTTTTTTTGCCATTTGCGTAGTAATTGATGCCTTTGATAGCCAACAACAGCATTGTATATTGTATTTGGAACGCCTTGTTACGCGGTAAGCGCAGGTGCGTGGTGTGACGTGCTTGCAAGACACACAGGCTCATCTTTTGTCTATTTTTTCTTCTGGCGACGCGGGGCCGCTGATCTATTTAGGGCATAGACTAGGTCTATTTCGGTACCTTCGTGTCCCAGTGCGGGGGGCGCTGGGCTATGGCGCGGGGCCGGTCTGTCCCACTTGTGGGCACGGTGACATGTTTGGGTTATAATGTGGCGTGGACTACGGGCCAAGGAGAACGAGAAAGAGAGAGGGCTAGAGAATAGGGTGGCACAGCAAGTAGTGCAAGAAGATCAGGTGAACTCTACGCCCGCTCCCGTTTGCGTATTTGCCGTTCTTTTTCGTGTCGCAATTCTGACCATAAAGAGAACATCGTCATTCTGCTGAAAGTACCTTATATTGAGGCTGTCCTTTGGCAATCGTCTTCTGCAACACCTACGCACCGCAGCAGAATGTGTCTCTTTTGGTCTATGCGAAGCCTTGTTTGTAATCCTTTTCCCCTCGGCTGCATTGCAAAATTGCAAAAGCAGCATCTTTTTCCCTTAGCACGGCGCCATCTGAGAGGAAAAACACGTATGAAGTAGGCCGTTAGAGGTACGTCAACCTATGCTATGAAGAGAGAGAGAGAGAGAGAGAGAGAGAGAGAGAGAGAGAGAGAGAGAGAGAGATGGATAACCCACGAGAAGCGGAACAGACACGAAAAGTACGCAGTACTGTACTGTACGCGCGGCCAGCGGGACAGAGTGGTCGGGGCGTCGTCGATACAAACTTACGATCCCGCTGCGTGCGTTGTATGCCCAGCAGGAAGGAGGAATGGCACCTGCCGGACCACCTCTCTCTCTCTCTCTCTCTCTCTCTCTCTCTCTCTGCAGTAGTGATGCGCCCGCTGCTTATCGCGCATATTCGCAATGATTTATTTCCGGACACGCGTCTTATTCCATTGGGGCCGCGAGCGATGATAATCCCGCTACGCCTTGTGTTCTTTTTTTTTTTTTCGCTCTCTCACGTTTCCTCTCTTTTTGCTTTGTTGCTAAATATTTATTTTATTTTCTCATTCCAGAGATATTGTTGGACCTTGCGGGGGAAGTCGTACATCCTGCCGCGCAGTCTGTGAGTATACGTCTGTTTGCAAAATAAGTATATACTTAGCTGCAACGATAGCGGAAAGAGTGTTGCGGAGCGGTTTGTCGCGCTGTTCGCGCCCTTAATTCGAGCGCACAGCTCAGTACCTCCTATGGAGCCTGACACTCGGGCAGATCACTTTGACATATTCTCACTGGCCGCTTCTTTGGGATGCGCAATATTTTTTAATGCGCTCTGATTAGGAGCAGGCCGCCGGAATACATTTGAGATGTTCTCCTGCCTCTTCACCTCATATCCTAATTTTCTCTCCACAGTAGCTGCCCGGAGGACATATCTCTCTCTCTCTCTCTCTCTCTCTCTCTCTCTCTCTCTCCCTCTCACTCTCACTCTCTCTGGAAGGGTGGCTCACATCCTTAAGTGGTTGGCTCCGGCGGCGCCTGCCCCGGATTCCATCCGACGGCAGTAACCCAATCTTTGCACCGCCCGCCTCGTTGCGTTTTTTCCCTTCCCTTGTCATGTCCCCCGGCGCTCCCCCCCACCTCCTCTCCCTCTCCCTGCAACTCTCCTTGTCCTCGCGACGCCCGCCGCGACGTCTTGAATTTCAACCCTTAAGTGGCAGCAGCGCCCCACCCCTTCCTCTCAACCCCCGCAACCCCTCGTGTAAAAGTTTTCACATTTTTCCCCGCCGGTCCTGGCGGTCAGACGCGTTGCGGCCGACACTTCTCTCCGTCTCCTAAACCCCGTCCACCTCGCCGTGCCTGTACGACCAACCCTTACTTTCCATAATAATTTATTTTAGAGTGTTTTTGTGTGTGTGGCACAGGCTTGTATAAGGCCGTCTACTATATGAGATACTAGTTAGGCTTTCGTAAGAAAGAGCCCCATTTTTGTGTATAGTATGCGGTAAAAATCCGTACTCCCTCCTGCTCCTATCTCCCTTGAAGGGTCCCCCTTCCCCCTTCTTCACCGGGGCCAAGCGCGCTCGCGGGGTGGCCCTTTAAATACATTAAAGCTTCTTATCGGGGTGAGGTGAAGGGACACCACGAAAGAACACGACGTTTCTTAAACTTTCCCTTTTCTGTCCGCCCGCTCCAAGGGCTGGCCGCAGCCCCCGGGAGCTTGTTCTCTCTTAGATCTGCTGTCTCAGCCTTGAAAAATGTGGAAAGTTGGTAGAGTCCTTCCCCGCGAGGCAGTGAACGGAACGGACTCGCCCTCAGACGGATCCAGGGCTAGGAGGTGCGTCCGTCTCGTTGCCGGTGTCCTCGGCCAAGGTGTGTTGAGGGAACGGCGTTGTTTCCGCGTGATTCCTTGGAACACATTTTTTGGATGTAAACTAAATAAACTAATTATGTTTCTGAAAGTTTTCTTTTTTTTTACGTTATTCTTAACTGTTTATTTTGTTGAACTTTGTGTGTTCTTCTGTTCGCGCTCGCTAATTTTGATTGTGTGTATATCGTGAGATGCGTAAGTAGTCTAATAATTTGTCTGACGCCCGATGTAGCCACTTGTGTAGCAATTAAATCTATTTTTATCGGATTCAGTCTTCATTCTATTTTTAGTCTCCTTACTAAATGAAGCTCTCGCACCCGATAACACGCTCAACTTTATTTACGGACCGAACCTGTTACCTTGAAAATGGAACCACTTTGCCGGACCGAGGGGCCGCGCTGCGTGTGCGCCGGTATGTGCCTGTCTGTATTGTACCTACGTCTGCGTCTATAGTCGCTCGCTTGACATTCATTCCATTTTCGTTCGCTCGCTTTTGCCTAAGGGCAACATCCGTTACGAATATTCCGTGGTGAGCAATTTGCTGACGGCTGTTCGCATCGTTGTGTATCGGCCTCGGCATCTTGAGCCGCGTCAACTCGCCGACCAAACGTGCCCCCCCCCCTCCCCCCTCCCTGCCACCCCTCGCCACCCCCCGTCTCCTCAAACATAGGCCAGACCACTGCCAATCAGGAGGAATACAGCCTTTCTTATTTGATCAATAGTTTCTATACTTTCTTCCGTTTTCCAGGTACATTCAGAAACGTTTTGCAGTGAATGTGCGTTTTTTGGAATATTTTGCAAAGTAGTGGACCAGTCCATCGCGTCCCCCGCCGCCCTGCACACTCTGCATACTATTTTCATTTAATCATTCAGGCAGCGAAGCCACTGTTCGCAGAAACGCGACCGGCCAGCTGAACTAGGGACGCCTAGACCATGTGTGCATGTGTGTGTGTGCGCGCGAGCACGTGGGAAGGGGGAGGGGGGGCTGTGGACGCACAGGGCGAGAGGGGAGGTCGTGATAAAGATCCCTTTGCCCCGGTGGTGGGGGAAGGACGAGGGAGGAAAAGAAAAATTCTGCCAAAGCGAAAAAGAATAATCCGGTGCGCGGTGGTGGGGGAAGGCTAGCGCGCTCCTAGGCGAATGGGGTGGGAGTGCTGCGCGAGGGAGGAAAAATGCGCGGACAAGCAACAAAAGAGGACGTGAGGGTAAAAAAAAAGTGAAGATTGGGGGTGGTTGGTCAGGAGCTGGAGATGAGGGGAAGGAGGGGGTGGAGTCAGCGCGCGCACTGCACACATTTTTATCCTATTTCACCCTCCTCCCCTATCTCATTCCGCGTTTCTGTGCGATTTTTAAGCCTCTGCCCCTAACCGTGTGTGTGTGTGTGTGCGCGCGCGCGCCCGCCTGTGCGTGTGTGTGAGTTCGCGCGAGTGCGAGTGAGGGGTGGTAGTGATGAGCTTCTGCCTAGCCAGTCGTGCATCAAATGGGCGCCTTATTTTTCTGATGTAGGATTGGGACCTCATCAGCCTGGGTGCGGCGCCGCCGCGCCTGCTTTTGAAGCGCCAGGGTGACGGGACGGCGAAAAGAAAAGGGGCGCGCCGCAGGGGAAGGGATGGTGCGACGAGCAAGTGGCTGAGCCACGGGCATCAACTCCCTTTGCCGTGAGATCTCATCAAATATCAGCCTTTTTTCCATAATTTCTGTTTATTTTTTTTTACCGCGCCCGTTCGTGAAAGTATTATTTTACTGTCGATCTGTCTATATTCCAAATGTTTTTTCCGCCCCATTCCCTTCCCGTTTCTTCTATTTACGCAATTAATTAAAAGTCTTGATTCATTAGAATTCTCTTTGCTTTTTTCCCCGCTGATGACGGGCCTCGCAGCTGACGAAATTGAGAGCGGGATTGTTTTCTCTGGAAATTGATTTGGCGAGGGGCAGTTTCTCCTCTTCTCTTCATTTTGGAGGAGAGGCACGACCGCCGCGATTCACCATTCACCCCTTCAGGGTGACACCTTAGGTCTAGTGCCAGCCATCTGTTTTAACGATTGTTTCTAAGAATAAAAATAGTCTGAAAGTTTCAAATCAGCGCATGTTACTTGGAAGATTCTGTACCGTGCGTTAGCTTCGTCTCTAAAATGAAAACTTTGACTTGACGTACCGAAGCAATCAGGTTCTTTTGTCGTGGGGTGTACCCTTAGCTGTATGAATTACTACCCCCAAGGAACAAACCTGAGAACAAACCGCCACCGTGGAGGGAGTCCTTGTCCTTGTGCGGCGGTTGTGTTGCCACCGTGTAACGGACGGTACTTTTGTGAAACCGCCGCCTTGTTGACCCTGGGGCTGCTTTTACACGGAACGCATAAAACCAGTGAGCACCGACCGGCTCTAAGACGCTTGCTTGTCCTCCGGCCTGTCGTAGCAAAGGCAGAAATGTTGATGAAGTTGCGTTCTTGTTGCAATACTCTTGTGTGTGTTTATGTGTGTAAGACAGAAATGGTATATAGTGAAATAGGTATCCTCCACCGCTCAGGTTTTCTTTCAACTTTTTCCATTCTCGAGTTCCAGCATGCTTTTTTTGCTGTGTATATCTTTGGTCGCGAGCATATGCAGTGACCCCCGCCCCACCCCTTTTCCAGAGCGGCTACTGCAGCGTCCGCAAGGATCGGCGGCCAGCGCGGGCTGGCCCTCGGGGGAAAAGGGTTATGGTCGTCCCATAATGAAAATCACGACAAAAAAGGCCTGCCGGCCAGGACAATATATTACTTAAAACAAAGGCGTGCGCGGGATGGACCTCCAGGCCAGCCAGCGTGGCGTGGCGCGGCCAGGTGTCGGAGCGGACAGCAGCAGCAGCGGCCAACGTCGCACGCGGCTTCCTCTTCCCTCTCTTGTAGCTGGTGGACTTGAGGGTGCCACGTTTGTGTATGCGAGTATGTAAGAGAAGTGATTTTAGAAAACAACCAAAAACAAAAAACGTTGTATTGCTATTGATGATTTGACTCAAGTTAATTCGCGAACACGTTCAGTGCGGCGTGACCACAATGTGGTCATGTTGAATCGATGAGACACCCAAAATGATCTGCACCGAACGGTGTCAAGTTCTAAGAGTTATGGATATTATTGTGGTGGTATCTTTGTCCGTTTCAAACTTTCAAAAATATAATTGTTTACCATCTGATTTGTTCTAGGGTGCACCTCTGCTTCATGGCGTTTGGGGTGCTGCATGTTTGCGTGTTGGGTCGTTGTCGCCACGTCTCCGCAGCACGCTCCTATTTAGCAGTCCGTAGACCACAGGTCATCTATGTGGTGGGAAGTGTTGGGACGGGTGCAAGACGCTCCGGTCATAACGTACACTTTGGCTCAAGGTACGTAATCGCATTACACGAAGATGAAGTAATTCACACTCTAGATGGGAAGGGACATAGGACATAGGTAGTAAAAATATTGTATTTCCCGTTTTAATTTCTTGTATTTTGTCTAAATATACAAATATGTCGCTGCCCAGAATTCAAAATTGCATCCTGCACGGTAAAAACAAGCCCTGGGAATCCCAGGAGTTTTTTCCGTTTCCCAGGGGAGTTGGAAGAGTCCCAGGAGATCTCCTGGAAATGTCTAATTTTTCCCAGGAGTTGCCCTGGGATTAGGGCAGCCCTGGGAGATATGATGCTATTTCCAGGGCATCCCCTGGAAAATGTTCCGCGGCCGACACGACGAGCGGCTGCTTCACC